TTTTGGAATGAAAAGGAATAAGAAACTACGAAGAACACGACAAGTCAGAGGCTACACTCCCTAGAAACCGAATTCACTTCTTCCTCCCCGAAGAACACGGATCAAACACAATCCTATAGCCTCACAAATCACTAGAACAAGCTTTCAGGATCGAGAATTCATGAAAATCAACAATGATTCCTTCACAACACTCAATCCTCACAAAAACTCTCCTTTTCTCTCTGATTTCTCTTAAGAAAACACGACTAAACGCAGCCCCTCGACTTATATAGTCGAACCCTAGGGCTTCCTTAAACCATCCGCAAACCGAGCAGATAAAAATCGAACCGATTGGTTCAATTCACAACCTATGTCGATTGACGCACCCACCTGTGTCGATTGACGCACGCCCAAAATTTCCAAATTTTGGTTAGTGGACGTTACAAATTGAATTATTAACAAATTGAATTTTTTTATTATAAAACAATATTTATGCAGATGACAAATTGAAAATTTAATTTAAACAAAAAAAAATTAATTTGTGCAAAGCACAGACCATAACACTAGTAACTAATAATTCGCTCAAATTGAACAGGCGGATATAACGAAAGTTGTACGTACATCTATATAACATAGGGTTGGGGCGTTGGGCGCAAAACGGATATCCAAAAAAATACAATATTTGTAATTCCATTTTTTTATATCAGATATTTAATTTTTCAATTTGCTTTACTTAAAAAAATGTCGGATATCCGATTTTTTTCATAGAAATTCGTTTAAACAGAAAATGATTCTGTATAATTACCTATTCGGATTTCCCAATTTTCTTTATATTTAATTTCTTACACTTTTAATCTTAAAACGGACTGTTTGATATGAAACCAACTTGCTATCTTTTGTTTATATGGAAGCTTATGTTAACTCACCTTTGATATTTCCTAGACGTGAAAGCTTGTATAAGCCTTTAGGATATCTTGGTTTGCAGTTACAACAAATATTTCGTTGATCCTTGTATATATATTTGAAAAAATTACTCAAATCCTATGGAACTATGCGAATATGACTAGAATACCATATATCTTT